CTTTCCCTAATTTTGGGGCGGCAGGATTTTGCATAAAAACACAAAACCAAACAATCTCCGACTAAAAAAGAATCAAGATTTTCTCTGATTTTTTGACAGAGCCTTCCCTTTCCTCCCCCTACTCCCCCCAAAAAAGAAAAATGCAGACAAAAGTGAACTTTTAGTTGAACTATTTTTCACTGGGAAGATGGAGAATTCCAGAGGAACGCTGGTAGGTTCACAGGAACATACTTCACTGAGTTACCAGGTAAAGCAGCCCTGCCTTGAGCTTTGGTCACCCATGCCACTGAGTTTGGTACTAGAGCAAGGTAGTTCAAAGCTAGCTTGAACTAGTTGAGCTGTGATCACTCCATTAGATCACAGCCTAGTTGAGCTGTGGTCACTCCATTGGATCACAGCCTAGTTGAGCTGTGGTCACTCCATTAGATTGCAAGGTAGATTTACCCAAGGTTAAGTCTTTGCAAATGCCAAAGCTGTTTATCTGTTCTAAGGTTTCCTAGGGCTTGAATTTAATGTGGGTAGACCAGATCCAGCCATGTCTTTTCATGGCACTGGATGAAGTCATCTCTTGCTCTCAAAAACTTCTCTCTCTCCGATTTAGTTAAAAATGCATCTCTACCCTGCCTTCAAAGTAATGGATACTTACATTATCCTCTTCCCCAAGCAGTGATCAGCCTTAGCACTGCATGTAGCATTCACCCGGTGTGGGTTAACTGAGGAGATGTTTGTACGGTGTTCTTCACAACCATAAGTCCTAGAAAGGTTTGGAAGATACAGGACTAAATTGGTTCAATGCGGACAGGCTTGACAGAGTGGGGGAGGTACTTTGACTCTCTCCCACCTTAGATTCACTGCTGCTTAGACACCCTGTCTGCCCACTTCAGTAACTAATCCTTCCTTGCTGACAACAATAGCACCCTGGCTCCTTGGCACTTTGATCCTTCTAGGGTGCTTTCACTGAATGCTGGAGGTAGGCCAAATATCTTTCCTTCCTGTTTTCTAGGTTTCTTCCCTCTACCCTTATGGCTTTGGCATTTTGCCTTCTTGCAAGGAAGGTGAACAGCAAGAGGTTAGCAAGCAAAGAAGTACCTTATGGTGATGCAAATGTATCTGCCAGGTATGAACTTAGGCTGAGGGCTTGCCTATTTCACAGGGATCTCTAATAGAAGCCTCAGCCAGTGACAACTTTGACTCCGAGGTCCAAAATCAAACATGAACCAATGACTTACACAACTGTAAACTTACATGTAAATACCCCAAAGTGTGCCAAATGAATGGTCTCTCCAATTTGCAAGGCCAAATCCTGAACGCAGCAACACCAGTGTAAATCCATACCAACCTCATAGAACTCAGTGGCTTTATTTGATATTGCTACCAGTGCAACAGAATTTAGATCTGGCCACAGTGTAATGTCTCATACTTTTGTTCCTCAACTTTCAGTTTGTAGTTGGATTTGGTAGGTATGTGTACAAAGAACTGGATGGTGGCACTACCGGGCCCCATTCGCCTTCAGCAAAGGCAGTTGTCTGCTTTCTTGCCACCTGCTCTGTTCATTTCTGGTAACCAGAAGTTGCTTCTTTGGAAGGCAGCAGATGGGTAAAATGCTGTAGCAGGTGAATGTGCTCCACACACAGAGTTCAGCCAGAGAACTGTTTGGAATGGGAGAGCTGGTTCATATTATCCTCTTCCTTCTGCACTAATATTGTTTGCTTTTCCACATATAGCTTATTAAATTGCCTCTCAATAGGGAAACAGACTTACACCATTTAGAAATCCCTTGCTGACCCTGAAATGTTCTTTGCTGGGGAGAGGTAGGGTTTTTTTTGCTGTCTTATGACATCAGTAACAGTGATATGGGTTATGAAGTAGAGCTGGTTAAAAAAACCCAAGGTTTTATTTAAAAACATGCAATTATCATTTGTTTCTGGGGGAGGCAGTTCTAAAGAAAAGCCCCCAAATTTTCAGTTTCATAGTAGTTTGGGGTCAGAAGGGACCTGAACAGATCTAGTCTGACCCTCCCCACTGGCAGAACCACACACTGGGATCACATGACCCCACACAGGTGTTCATCCAACTTCTTTTTTAATTTACCCAAGGTAGGAGCGAGGACCACTTCCCTAGGAAGTTGGTTCCAGATCCTAGCTACCCTGACAGTGAAATAGTTCCTCCTAATCTCTAACCTGAACCTATTCTCCAGCAGCTTCTGGCCACTGTTCCTCATCACCCCAGGTGCTGCTGGGGAGAATAGGACCCTTCCTAATTGCTGCTGATCTCCCCTAATGGGTTTGTAGGCAGCCACCAAATCCCCCCTCAGCCTCCGTTTGCTGAGGCTGAACAGGTTCAGGTCCCTCAGCTTCTCCTCATAGGGCCTGCCCTGATGCCCTCCAACCAAGCAGGTGGCCCTCCTCTGAACCCTCTCAAGGCAGGCCACATCCTTCTTAAAGTGTGGTGCCCAGAACTGGACACAGTACTCCAATTGTGGCCTGACCAATGTCGCATAGAGAGGGAGTATCACCTCTCTGAACCAGCTTGAGATGCATCTTTGGATGCATGACAAGGTGCGGCTGGCTTTGCCAGCTGTGGTCTGGCATTGGTGGCTCATGTTCATCTTGGAGTCAATAATGACTCCAAGATCCCTTTCCGCCTCTGTGCTCACAAGAGGGGAGCTCCCCAGCTTGTATGTGTGCTGTGGATTCCTTCTCCCAAGGTGCAGCACCCTGCATTTGTCTACGTTGAACCCCATCCTATTACCATCCGCCCACTTCTGTAGTCTGTCTAAATCTAATTGCAGCCTCTCTCTCCCTTTGAGTGTGCCTACCTATCCCCACATCTTGGTGTCGTCGGCAAACTTGGACAATGTGTTTTCCACCCCCTCGTCCAAGTCGCTGATGAAGATGTTGAACAGTGTAGGCCCCAGGACTAAGGCCTGAGGGACCCCACTATTCACATCGCACCAGGTCGAGTACGACCCGTCCACCACCACTCTCTGGGTGCGCCCCATCAGCCAATTTCTGACCCATCCAACTGTGCCCCTACCTGTGGTGGGAGAGCTGTCCTGGTCCCTGTCCAAGAAAACAGAGACAAAGAACTTGTTCAAAATTTTGGCTCTCTCATCTGGCGTAGCCACAAGATTACCATTTAAGTCTAGCAGAGGCCCTATGTTACCTGGTGCCCTCTTCTTACTCCCAATGTATTTGAAGAAGGACTTTTTGTTGTCCTTAATCCTGGTCACTAGCCTGAGCTCCACCCCTGCCTTGGCCTTCCTAATGGCCCTCCTACACTCACAGGCCAAAGAGGAGTATTCCTCCTTGGTGATCGCCCCTCCCTTCCACCAGGTGTATGCCTCCCTTTTGGCCCTCAGGCATTCTCGAACGCCTTTGCTGAGCCATGGGGGTTTCAGAGCACTCTTAGCCCCCCTTGTCTCTTGAATTTTGGTTTGAAAGAACTCTTTTTTTCTATGAAATCCCCAAATTTGACCAAGAAAGAAGTTCTCATGAAAACTTCCATTCTCAAAAGTCCATTATAAAGGCATAAGTGACTTCAGTTTCTTTTGTTCAGGTTCCTATGGTTGGAAGAGCTTTCAAAGAAATGTAAATCACTATCATAGCTCCCATACAAGACGGGGTCTCTCCTATTGTAAGGCCTTTCCCATTGTGGCTAAGCATACAGGAACACAATAGGGCTGTAGTATGTCCTGAGAGTAATTCACGACTGACAGTGCCCCACTTGGCATGCAGCTCAAAGGGTGGACGGCCAACACTTCCCAGAAAAAGAAAAACAGGCCTCTTTAGGATGCTGGACACCTATTACCATGGGTTTAGAGTATCTTAACCCAGATGTAAACAGGTCAATAAACTGTACTTCTTGGTGTTTAAGAGGAGAGTAAGTTAAGCAGAACCATGTTTGGGGACTGCATGGAAATAGGAGGTTTATTTCCTGAGATACTACCTGGATCCATCTATTGTGCTTGTTCTGCACACAGATTGGATGCCAGATTGAAACAAACCACTACCCCTTGCCAGTTTATTTCTCTCAATCACACACTTGCCCAGAGTTTAGGCACTGCAATGTCAGGTTATACCTGCCCCCTCCCTCCCCAAAAAAGCCATCACAGGAATAATTTTCATAGGGTTCAAAAGAGAGCTGAGAAAAGGCAGTGTGATACTCCAAAGCATGTCTGAATCTATCCCAATCATGCAGTTACTCCAATAAAAGAGATCACCCACAAAAATTCTTCATGTCTCAGGAATCACTTTACCTGCTTCTGGGACTAAAACAGAGCACCACTACCAAGATGTTCTGGAGCGAGAAGCATCACATGTAAAGGATGGCATCAAGGGGCATTTAAGCAGGCCATCGTCTCTTGGCTCTGGCATTCAAAATGAATGACAACTGTAATACCCTCTTTATTCACAGACGGGATCCATCATCTTTAGAAAGAAACAAAAGCTTTGGCAACAGTGAAACAAATCTGCAAGCAAAGATTTGGGTTTTCTTTATTTTTTATTGTTTTTAAATACTATTTTTTTTAAAATTCATTATGTCAGACTGTTAACATTCAGGTAAACAAGCAAGAAGACAACAGATGGGCATGATCTCTTAGCATAGGCACAGCCATGGCGAAGGGCTGCTTGCATTCCACTGCCTTCCTCCCTTCTCACCCAAACAGTTGCACCTCAGTCTCTTTGACACTCCCTCCGTTTCCTCAAAGGCATTGGCCTGGAGCCCTGGAGCCAACCTGGCACACCTGTGCTGCCCAGGTCAATACGTGGGGCAGGGCAGGGAGGGAAGGGCAGTTGTGGGATCACAGCACTGCATGCCAGCCCCTCTCATCCAGAACAGGGGCTTCCTCTGAAGCTTCAGGGTGGCAGCATCATTCAACGACTGGGCCAACCTGACAGATCAGAAAGCTGTCCCACTAGGTTAGGAAAAAGGGGCTCTTTGGGATAGTTTCAATTGCTTTTTAGCACAAATTTGGTTTAGTCACCACAGGTCTCTGAATTTTAGTCCCCCCACCCCCACGCCCACCACCTCTTGGCATTTGCTCCCCCACTGCTGCCCCTCCTCTCCAGGCACAACCAGCTGCAGCAGCCATTGCCCTTGGTGAGCAATATTTGCTTTACCTTACGCCCATTCCAATGGCCCACGCACAACATCTAATTTTTTCTCTTCCCTCCTCCATCGCCCCAGAGGCTGCTTTGGCCTATGCTGTCAAAGCCTGGTTGATGAAACATCCTGGCATTAAGGTTAACTGGTTGTAAATGGCAGAGGTTGGTCACACTATGCGTGCTATGAGAAACATTTATTAAAATTGGTTCTTTTTTCTTCTTTTCTTAAAAAAAAACAAACACAAAAGGCAGAAAGAAAGAAGTTAAACACAGCTTTGTGGCATGCTCCACACAGTATGAAAGGATTCAAGCATTCAGTTCAGCTGGCAGCAGCTCTGTTTGACCTTCCACCACGGTCCTTAAGCCCAGCCCTGGGTAATTCACTACTCTTGGCCTCCCCATTGAAATGGGGCCTCACTCCCCTTCCTTACCTTATGACTCTTAGTTGTTATTTTCTCTAGGACGAACTTTCCTACAGGTTGAGTATTTATGGACTAAAGCCTAGTACTGCAAAGCCCTTCTGTCATCTCTCAGGTGTTTCCAGGACCAGGTCCCAGATCTGTGTGCGTACACACATAGGGATCTGGGACAGCAGTTCAATAAAGCAATTTGATCTAAATCAGTTAAGTCTGATACTACATCCATCCACGTTTATCTTAAACTGGTTTTGGCTATTTTGAAAGCGGTTTATGTGCAATTAACTTCTGTGTGTTACAGATTTGAACCAGTTTCCAATCACTTGTACTGGTTTATGTCTAACTTCTGTCCCTAGCCACAGAGACAGAAGCGTGTCTCAGAGGAAGTGTAAGTGCTATAATCTTCTCTCACCACCTCAACTAAACTTTAGATCCTGTTTCCTCTCACATCATCCTACTCATATCCACCTTATCAGCAGTTGAGACAGAGAATACCAAATCAGTTGCTTTAGCCATTTCTCAACTATTTGGCCATTCTTAAGCATGAAAGCTGCTACATCTATCTCCTTTTCTTTCTCATCTGCCCCTCTGTCTGCTCTCACTCCCCCCCCAGCAAGCTAGAAGACACAGGAATACCTTTAATAATGTGAAGGGAAACAACCAAATTATTAACATCACCCAGTGAAATTTATCTCACAGCCTTTTTCTGTGTCCCCCCGGGTGCCTCTCTATTAAGAGATGCCCTTCCTCTCATTGCAGTCGCATTGGACCTGTTCTTTCTGGTGGGAGGCTGCACAGGTAGATGACAATTCATGGGTCACCCCTGAAATTATAGAGATGACCAGTTACCCTCTGTTACTCTGTTTTGGCATGACAAAATCCAGTGAGCCCAGAATAGTGCTGACCAAAGATACTTCTTGGGCTATAACCCTCCATAGTCACCTCCTCCTGCCTGCTAGAGCAAAGGGCAGTTCCAGTACTTTAAAATGATAACAGCCAAGAACATGCTTGAACTATATTTCTTTGCAGAAAGACCCAGTGAATCTTCAAACAGAGCTTTGGCTATGTACATGGTATCAGCTGAATACTGAACAATATCAAAATATATGGTATATAGGGGAAAAAACAACTGAAATGCTTAATGGCATATTTATACACATTTACCAACAGTTGACAAAAAGGTGGCAAGTTACACATCCATTCTGTATGCTAACAACCCTGATGTACACATATGTAAACACATGCTTGGTTGATGCATAACAGTATACATATAGCCACGTATCAAGGAGATAACCTGAAAAATCTACACTGGTGGTAGGGGAATGGGGGAAACCTGGTGCACAACCTGTTTTTGTTTCCAAAGCATGCAAAATAGACATTCAGGGCAGTGTTGCTTTAAGGCTATTTCTAAGGCTCAATTACATCTTGTCCAATGCCCAATCAATCAAGGCTCTGTTTGAGACACCTTCTCCCTGGATTGTGAACTAGCACAACTTAATATATCAATATTTTGAAAGCCCCTACATGCTATGAAGGCAAGAAGGGGAAAGAAGGGGGAGGGAGAAAGAAGCTGGATTGATCAAGTTGCCTCATTGTAGGAGTCCTTCATTGTTTATACTAGTAGCACATTCGAAGGGTGTGTATTAGCCTGGGAAGAACACAGTTCTCTTCCCCCCAATTCAGATTTGCAAGTTTAAAACGAAGCACAATCCAGGGATCAGAAGGGTGCTGGAAGCATGCCTGTATGGAAAAATCTCACATCCTAATCAGACTGGGGGGTGAGTAACTCTGCTTTCTGCTCAGTCAATAGCTGAGAGATACTAAAGTTTCCAGCTCAAGCGCCAAAAGAGGTAAGGGAAAAGCTTTACTTAAAAATATATATCTATATATCTATACATATAGAGCATCTTTTAGAGACACATACTAGCTTTATTACACAGAATTTGGGGCACCCTTTCCCCTCTATGTACATGGCAACAGCTCTCCTGTTAGCTAGATAGATTGGCATACAATAAAGGCCACACACATTTGGTTGGGAACATCTAGCTTGGGTTTGAACCAAAGCACAAGAGGGCACAACAGCATTTAAACCAATGCCTCCTTAAATCCTGCATTTCCTGTCTTGGAGGAGTTGGTTTCCAATGCTTCATGTCAGTTTAAAAAAGGATTTTTAAAATAACCTTTATTTATTTATGTATTTCAACTATCAGGCTGTGGTATTTTTCTGGGAGAATGACAGCGTAGTTACAAAAGGACCACAAGTAAGCAAAATGGCGCAAACAGAACTATGATGAAAATATAAAAATTAGTTCTGAAATAAATGGAGAACCCCTCGAATCATCTTGCTGAAGCTTTGTGGAGGATTTTTATAGACCAGGCCCTAGAGCTTTATTCTTTTTTTTATCCTTTTCAAAGTATCATACGTACATAAGCGTTCATTTAAAGTATGAACACAGCACCTGAGTGGAAGTTACCCCTTCCTCCTGCCACTCCATGCAATCGGACTACAAAGAAGCATTCAGTCACTTCTGGAATTTGAAGAGTTTAGCCCTATGGACTCACTCCCAGGTTGTGACCCTGTGAGACACTTTCAGCCCAAAATGAATGAGTCAATTTGTTTATTTAAAAGAGTTACAACCTCCTGGGGAGAAAAAGAAATGTTAATAGCTTAAAATTATAACTCTTTGCTTAACAAGTCACCTGTGTACCTAGCAAAACAAATGGGCCTCACAGGAGCAATCTATCTCCACCCTGTCCCTTTGTGATGCATCTCAGCTATCAGGCTATACCCTTGCCTCTCACATCTATCAGTTTGCAACAGCAAATCAAATTTTCCTGTAAGCAACTAAGAAATGCCAGGAGTTGGGCTGGTGGGAGGGGGAGTGGGAAATGAGAAGAGCAACAACCCTGCTTCAGTTTCCAATTACTATAAACATTAGCATTTAAAGAAAAAAAAACAAGGCAAAGGTGTCCATCATCTTCACAACAAACTAGGGAGCTGTCTGCTCTGTTCCTCTTCTATACCAGCACCATTGCCAAAATAACATGAAGGGTAAAGGGCCAGACTTGCTGGTACAGTAATTTTTACTACCACACAAAACTGATGTGTAACTAACTCAGCCACAAGGATATGGGAAGGTTTTATTTATTTAAAAAAAAAAAAAAAAAAAGTAAAAATGATAAGTACTGTACGGTAATATTGGAAGTAGTTATATACATGGTTTTGTCTTTTGTTGAAATGTCTCCTGGTCATGTGGTGGCACTTGGGGATCCTTTAGCGCCATCATCCCCACCCCTCCCCCTGCAGCTCTCCACTTCTCAGTACACGGAGCTGTTCCTTATGCCACAGCACAATACCATGCTCAGGATCATTTCGAAGATCTGTGTGGGGAGACAAGATCACTGGTAAGGCTCCGATTTATAAACGTCTTGATGACCTCAAGCTCTTCCCACCTGCTGTCTTCTCTTTCCATCCAGAATACTCCACTATGCTCCTCCTGGGTCTCCTGGGTCTCCCTTCCCTCCAGGCTGAGGACACATCTACCCTTCATCTTCTACACATCATCTACCCTTCTTCTGCACATCTACGCCTGCCCCCACTTGTTTGTTTGTTTTTAAATGGAGCCGTACTTTTGGTGTCTTTATTGCATCAGACAGCTGAGCGCTCATGAAAACGGGAACTGGAATGGATGAGGAAAGGCAATTTATATTATTTCCTGGTAGGGCTGTGCGAAGTTTCGCTGGCTGTTTCGTTTTGATGCTGTTTTGACTCGTTTTGAACTTGAAACAGCGAAATTGAAATGAAGGGCTTTGAAACAGCCTCGAAATGAAACAAGGCCAGTCAGAACGTTTTGAAAGTTTTGAAACGTTTTGAGTTTCGAAGCAGCCAGCCAGGTGGTGGGAGGCAGGCAGAGCCAGTGCTGCGCTCCAAGCGGCTCAGCAGCCCCATGTGGCTCCATGTCTTGCCACCTCCCACCGCCGGGCTGCGCTCTGTGGGGCTGGTGGAGCCTATTGTAGCACAGTGCCATCTCTGCCCACCTCCCACTGCTGGGCTGTGCTCCAATCGGCTCCACCAGCCCCATGGGTCTCAGCCCAATGGTGGAAGGCAGGCAGAGCCAGTGCTGCGCTCCACCTCCTGCTACTGGGCTGAGTTTCACAGGGCTGCAAGCCACTGAGAGCCAAGTCCGGTGGCAGGAGGCACTTCCCTCTGCTGGGCTCCATTCCCAGTGCTGGGAAACTCAACTTGGCTGGTGGAGGAGTCTCAGGTAGCAGGAGCAGCATCCTGTCATCTGACAGGCAGATCAGGGGCCTGCCTGCATTGCCAGGAGGGCTGCAGGGGCTCTACCAGACTCCTCCTGGGGATGCAGGCCCCTGATCTGCCTGCCGGATCACAGGATGCTGCTCCTGCTCCCCACCTCCTGCTTGTCAGCAGCTTGGGGGGTAGGTTCCTCGAAACCCCTACACCTAATCTCCTTGAAACATGGGCTTGAGGTGTAGTTTCCTAGAAACCCCTACACCTAATCTCCTTGAAACATGGCAGGCTTTATGCCCTCAGACAGGGCTACCATCCCTGCAAGTTTAATCGGAATCAGGCAAGAAATGACAAAGCTATAGGCTGTTTCGTGCTTCCCCATTATAGCTTATGGGTGAAACTCTGAAACAGCGTTGAAACAGCGAAACCGTTTTGATGAAACGGAACAGAACAGTGATTTCGAAACTAAATGAAACTCAAAATGAAACACTGTTGCATCGAAACAGAAGTCTAAGTGGAATGCTGCTGTTTCGCACAGCCCTATTGTCCAGCCCAGTCCAAGCACAACAGGCACAGAGATGAGGAAAGATGCAGTATGTTACTGGTTAGCTCACTGGAGAGTACACTATGGGAAAGAAAGCTAACTCCTTCCAGCTGGAAGCCTTATGGGTCAGTATTCTCCAATCCAAGAACTACAACGGTTTCGATGCTGGGCAAGGTGGCTCAGAAGATTACGGTACATTTCCTTGCAAGTAGAAGCTTGAGTTTAAAAGTAGTTTTGTTTACAAATTTAATCTTGTATACCTCTTGCCTTTGTCTCAGGATTGCTCTATCACAGACCCACCATTCAGCTTAGCACAGACGCACGCCTCAGAGGGCATAGAGCTGAGGTGCACTAGCACAGATGTGGGAAAGGAAGAGTTTGCTCTCTCCCAACCTGGACTAAACAGTAACCTGGCTTGGGGGAAGGGAAATAGAAGCTGCAGGTCAGTACTGGGAAACTCCTCTGCATTTCTGTGGGGTCAGCTGTTTAACCCCCTGCCTGCACCATGCCTGAAGTCACCCAGTGCTTGCTTACTGGCACAAAAAAGTTATTTAGTATTTTTAAAACCGAATCCCCTGCCCCTGAACTCTAGTATGCCACATCACATTTCTCACTTACCATGATTACAGCTACCACAATGGCAGCAATACCAATCAGGTACAACTTCCCAGAGAAGAGCTCATCAATTTTCTGGTGACAGTTGCTGTACATCTGTTGTACAAAGAGTGGGAGAATGCATGTCAGCCAGCCTCATCTCTAACTATGCTCTGCAAAACATTATATAGAAAGCAGCAGAATGTGGGATTTCTGGCTACTCCCCCCATATGCTCAGACCATGAAACATGGTCCTGGATGAAGTCAGTGACTGAACTCCAATCGATTTCATCCCATGCTATTTTACAGCACCTCAGACTGGACAGGAAGCGGCAGGGATGGGCATATTCAGTACACCCACAGTGAAATCTTAAGGAACATGCAGCTGAAGTCTTCCTGACCCTGGAGTGCAAGAGCATTTCAGCAAGTAGGGACCCAGGCTCTGCCTTTCTGTGGCAGATGCTTGCATTGCTAAATAGCCCCTCTACTTCTGGAAGGATTCCCAGTGCTGAGGAAAGGAATTCCTGAGCCCCACTCCTTCACTATTCCCACTTACTTGCCCTCTCCCGGCTAGCAGACAAGGAAGGGGTAGTTGCCTGAAGCCCTGCTACTGTCTTCCCCTTTGTTGTGAATGGGTTGATTTCTCCACCAAGGAGATAGAGTAACCCCTTCAGCCTAATGGGGCGAGTTTCTGGGTGTGTCACAAAAGTATAGAGGGACTCTGTGAAACTGCACTCACCCAACATCATACCAAGGAGAGAAGCAGGCCTTACCATGTTATCCTTCTTTGGGCATATGTCATCCCTGAGAAGCTGGGTGAATGCGCTTTCCAGAAGATTTGTACCACAGCAATCCAGCTGCACATAGTAAGAACACAGTGTTAGCAAGATGCAGATATTTGTCTAAGGAGGTTCGGAGATAATGAACTCATTGGACCCAGCCCGTTCTTGCTGGATGTTTTCCAATGTCACAGGAATCAGTTTGGCTTGTATAGAGGGAATCCAGCCTCCAAATTAAACTTCTGATTTACATGCAGGATAGTCACTGAATATAATAATCCCAGATGTTCATTCCCAACCTGGAAGATTCACAGCCAGAGCCTGTTTCCTACTCAGCACAGGACATGTTGAGAAGAATTCATCTGAGCTGAACTTCCATTCCATTGCACTTACCTGAATCCTGGGAATGCAGAAAAATAACAAAAATGACTTCATCTTGGTGTGGGCCAGGTTTTATAGGGCTCCTTCTAAATGATCTAGTCTAATGGTACTCAGTCTTTTTGCTCAGTAGTGCCTGATCTGTCCATAAGCCAGATCTGACTAGTGGTCCAGATCTGGCCCCTGCGGCAGGCACAGATCCAGCTGTGCAGAGAAGGGAAAGGGGCAGTCCAGTCCTAATCCAGCCACTTATGGCCTAGCCCCAACCTAGCCCTGCAAGTAAAGAGAGGGTGGAAGGAAAAGGTGGTATGACCTGGGCCTAATCCAGCCATGCGGGGGGAGAGGGCATGCTCCAGCCCCAAACCCACTGTGCAGAGGGAAGGGGGTGTGGCCCAGCTCTGATCTGCCGTGTGGGACTTGGAAATCTGGCAGCAGGGGAGGGTAGTGGTATTCTCCCTGGTGCCGAATTTCCTGACCCATGGGTACTGCATATGAAAACTCTGAAAGCTTGGACAGTGTCCCTTGCACAAAAATGCAAGACAATGGCTTGGGCAAAACTGGGTTGGGGTAACAAGACTGCCACAAGAAAAATCGAACTCCACTAATGGCTTGTAACCCATTAGGCATCGAGACAGATATTTGGCTGGGGCGATATGATCCCAGCACCCGTTCCTGCCCGGGGCAGGGGCTTGGACCTGATGATCTGTTTAGGTCCCTTCCAACCCTAAGTACTATGATACTATGAAACATTAGAGCCTGAGGTACCCAATACCAGCCCATACATAAAATAATAAAAGTAATGGTTAAAATTGTTGTTAGAGACCTGACACACTCATCACATGAGTATTTCCAAGCTAAGGAAGCCAAAGAAAAGGCTGAGCCAGTGAAGGCAAGGAAACTACATATGCATTTCAGTTGAACTAGCAACTAAAGAAGATAAAAGACTAAATATGCATCTCAAGAGAAACCTGTAAAAGATACAGGAAAGATGTCCTGTATGGGACACACAAATTTTTCAAAACAGGCATCCAATGTTTAAGGTATTACAAATGTCTCAATCATTCAATGTATGTCCACGGTTTTGTAAACAGACCATCACCGGTGCAAGCTACTGCAAATTTGCCCCACAGTTAAACAAATACCCAAAGACAGGATAACCAGTTGGTCTGGTAACCAATGCCTCTAAGCATCCTGTTTGACCACTCAGGACCCATCACCAGTAATTGACCTATAACTGCTGGGGCTGCAGAGAAACACAAGTCTTCACACCTAGACAAATCTAAAAAGAGGAGCCAGGCAATTTAACAATTGTAATATGATGGTCGCTCTTTTCCTCCCTGTTTTATTCAAACTTTAACTGGCCAACCATCAAGAAAAAAACAGGGGTGCACTTAGAGAGATTTTGGGGGCCGATACCAATAGCCAATTTTTAAGAAGGCATATTGGCTGATACCAATCTGATTTCCGATACAGCTGTGCGCAGCTGGTAAGTCTATTGTGGTGGAAGGGGAGGGCGGAGGGAAGGGACGTGGAGGGGAGGCGAAAATTAAGGCCCCTGCAGTGAGGGAGGGAGTGGGGCTGGTGCTGGGGCAGGCGCTGCCCAGCTGGGGAGGGGTGGGGCACAGGACAGAGCTGTGGCTCATCCAGGGACTGTGGGGTGGCTCCTGACACTCTGTACACCCATGGAGAGCATGGGGGGGCATCTGCCCCCAGATCTGTGCGGGGCAGGGCAGGCGAGGGGGGGTTGCAGATGCAGGCTGGGGCCGGGGCTGCGCTGGGCTCTTTCTGGTGGGGGCTGGGCCAGCTGTGCTTGGGGCTGGCATTGGTGGCACTGGAGGGGGCCTATGGGGCAGCATCAGTAGGACCCAGGGGGAGTCAGTGGCAGGACCCAGCAGCTACAGCAGCAAGGTCCGCCCAGCCCCAACCTCCCCCCCAGCCCCCAACTGGAAGTCTGGTGGAAGGCTTCTGGCCTGGTGACCCTGGGGCTCTTTCCTGCTCTTGTGCAACTCAGCTAAGAACACGGTGATCGCCCCAGTCCTCGGGGCCAGGCTGGTTTCTGCTTCTTCCTGAGGTCCTGGCAATGCAGCCAGGAATCACATGGTGCCAGAGTGATAGACTGGGGGTGGGGAGAAGCAACAGTGGTGGGTAGAAAAGCAGGGAAATGGCAGTGGTAGCGGTGGCAGGTGGCGGGGAATGGCAGTGGGCATGAGCACAGCAACAGCCAGGCAGGAGTGTGGGGCCTGTGCCAATGCCCTGAGGCCAGGGCCAGCCAGCAGGAGTGTGGGGCTCAGGCTGGCAGGGGCTCTACAGAGCTGGCCCAGCTCTGCCCCTCTCACTACTGGCGCAGCCTAGCCCAGCTCCATAGAGTTGGTAGGGGCAGCTGGGCCCATAGGGGCAGCCTGGGCCCTGTACTCCCACCCAGGTGTTGCTACATTCCTGCGCACTGCCACTCTCTCCCCAACCTGCTTCTGCTGCCACCGCCATTTCCCTGCTTTCCTGCCTGCTACTGCCACTTGTCCCCCCACTTCCACCCTATTTCCGGACCGCAGGATGCAGCAGGAACAGGCCTGGTCCGGTCCCTGCGATTCCTTGTTGTGTGGACCTGGCCATGCAGCTGGGGAACTGCATGGTGCTGGAATAGCCAGCGGGGGGTGGGGTGGGGAAGCGGCAGCAGCGGCAAGCAGAAAGGTAGAGAAGCGGCAGGAGAAGGGCAGTGGTGGCAGGCAGCGGAGGGATCAGTGTGGCAGCATCTGGGCAGGCAGCAGCACAGGGCCCGCACTGGTGCCCTAGGACCAGGGGCGGTAGGAGTGCTAGGCCCAGGCTGGCAGAAGTGCTGGGTAGGGGCTCCGCCTGCCACAGGCCCTGAGCACCTCAGAGCCTCACAGCCTGGTGCTGCTGCTGGTGGTAGGGGATGTGGGCATCCACACACCCCCATTCACCCTCCCCCACACACACACTCCAGCCACCCTCTCCCCTCCACACATGCCACAACCCTCCCCAGCCACCCCTGCCCAAACACTTACAGCCTCCCACAAACCTCATACCCACACCCCACATAGCCACACACATACAAACACTCCCCCACAAACCCCACACACACCCCCTCCCCCACACCCCACATACACATATATCCACACTCCCACAGCCCCCCACAAATCTACACCTATCCACCAATATACCCCCTCACCATACACAAGAATAAGACTTCATTTTAAGCTACTGTGCAATCACCTCTATGTACACTACACAAACACAAGTAAATCAGGACAAAAATATTTTTTGAAATCGAATGAATATTGTAGTAGATGTTTGATTTTTAGAATATCATTTGGTATTTTTCTGGTTCTGAGATGGCAAACCCCCTTGCTGAAAGGAGTACTTCTGGGAACAAGGGGAGGGACTTCTGGTGGCAAAGGTCAGGGCTTAGGGGCAGGACTTCCAGTCCAAAGATGGTGACCAGGGGCTGGGGCACCTGTTGAGGGGCAGGGCTACCCATGTGGCCCTCAACAGCTTGCCAAAACTCAAGCACCGTTCCATCCAAAATAGTTGCCCACCCCTGCCCTAGGACAACCCCATGGTTACTAACCCTCCTCATCTTACCGTTTCATGGAAGGTCTTCAGAACAGCTTTCCCATTGGTTGAATTGGGGTCTCCCTGAATCACTTGATGATATGCTTGGTCATAGAACTGCTTCACATCTTTGGCAATCTGCAGAAAAGGCAAGAAAAAACCTTCTTACAGAGGACATACACCTAAAAAGAGCTCTGTCAAACCCGTGTGGGAAGGAATAACAGTGCTGTCAGGCTACCCAACAAGAGGCATGCTGCGTTCAGTGCCACTCCCAGCTGAATAAGAAGTTTCTTTCAGATTTGGGCTATATTATGTATTTATATATAGAGGTAAGTAGTAGGGGCCTCTCCCTTACTGAGATCAAAATTCCTGCAGCTATACAATGTTCCGAAGGGCAGATGCTAGACTTCACTCATCATCTAGAATCTTTGGGCCAATATTTCCTAAAGATTTTGTGAATACTCTGTCTGTACACGCCTATATATGCTAAATGACTTACAGGATATGGACACTAGAGTCCCCTAGTAGCTTGTAGCACCTGGGCATCTAGATATTGTAGACGGCTTTGAAAAAAAATGTCAACTGTATTTGTTATTCCCAGATCAGCTATCAAAATGCAGCTCCCCCTGAGCCAGAACATGGCAGCAGCCAACACATAGCAACTCTATGCAGCAGCCAGGGGAGCATGGGAGAGTTCATACAGTCAGTGCCTGTGCCATACATTCACATTTGCTGAATCCTGAATGTTGATCTTATATACTCTCTCCCTTATGGCTTCTGAAAAAGCAGGAGTTTGGGAGAGAGACTTAAAAGAGCAGAGATACAAGATGAGTGAACAGAAATGAGGGACAGAGTATTTGGGAAACGTAATCTGCAGTGATCCATCCTACGCAGTGTGGAGAAGGTGAGGAAATAAATAAAATTAGAACTGGGGTTTCAATAAATTGTTCTTTTGTCCTCACCTTCCTTCCCAATGTACTAAATTTGAAACCATTATCTGCAAGTCAAACCTTTTATGAACAGAAAAAGGGATGGAATTGCCTCCCTTCCTCCACCTAAGACAAATCAGACATTGAAAACAGGGATCTAATTTCATAATAAAATGGCACCTCACACCTACTTCATTATGAAATAATCTTCCCCCAGGTGATATCGTTAATGGCGCTAAAATAAAGCAAAAGTGCACTGATTAAATGTATTCAGCAGTGTCTAAACTTGCCTGGTAGTCAAACACTGCTAATAAAATTTCCTCTCTGCCTGTGGTTCAGGATAAGTGCTCCAATACCACTGGCAGTAATTAGTGTGAATGACCGTTAGAGTCATTCAGCAGAGACACTTTCATAGAATGGGCTCGCCTTGGCTTGGGACTCTCCCAGCATCACCTCCCTTCTCTCTTCCCATGTCATTCAGGACTGGCATCAATAGGTGAGGGTAGGGAACAGAAACAGGTTGTCAGCATTGTTAGCAGGGACCTTCGTCCACCAGACCCCCTGGGGGCAGGAAAAACAGACACAGAAATCAAGCAGCAGCTGCAGATTCCTACTCCTTTGCATTAAATGCGTTTAATCGAGCCACATGTGGCTGATGCTGTTGCTTTCATCCTGTTGGAAAGAAAAAAAACCCTGAATCTTTATTGGGGGTGTTTATACTAGTGCCCATTTCTGCCATATGCGTGTGCCTTCCCTGCAGAGCCAGTAGCAGCAGGGGGGTACCTACAACAGCAAATTCCTAATAGGATTTCTGGAGTTTTGTAAATTTGTTAAATCTTAGACACTGAAAGATACCAGAAGTAATACCTGCACGATACACAACACCTCCCCCTTCCTGCAAAAGTGTTAATTTGCACCAGAGGTTGCTAGGTAACAGCATCCCAGGCACAGGACCTATTTAGCCACCAAGAAAATGTACCGATGAAGTAATGCATCTCTCTTGTGAATTAATGGTTGAGTGTCTGCACCCACAACCAGCTCTGAAACAGCTCTGAAATGGAATTGGCTACCACCTGCTTTTCTAGTTGAATTAAACTTCTTAATAAAGCAATTAATTTCTGGCTCCCCCGCAGATTCCAAGCACAAAGAGACCCGCAGATTCCAAGCACAAAGAGATTCCCTTCTCTGCTTCAGATCCTCGATGTCGAAGTGATCAGAATACTAATGTCTGGTTTCTTCCTTGCTGCATGACAGCTCAGGTTTTCGTGCACGGACAGTCTATCCGTAGAGGTTTTAATACAATAGGCTTGGCCCAGTTCTGAGGAAACCCATGAGAAGCCATGCCAGGAGAAAGATGGATGTTCCAGGCACTCATTGGTCAGGGAAGGTCACAACTCAAAAGACAGGAGCCAGCACTGTGTGTTCATTCCTCCACTTCGGGAAACTGTGGTATTCTGATAACCTGTAATCCCACTGGGAATCCTCTCTCCCTCTGTTATCTCTCTGTCCAGAAGACAAAGCCTATTGCTGTGCAAGGCTAAGGGCAGGGAGAGCTCATTAAGGAGATATTCTAGATAGAAATGTTAATTGCTGGCATGTAAATGGACCTCTATACAAGGTCACCCACATGCGTTTGTGTGAGTATGTGGAGGCTTAGGGAGCTGGCAAAACAGTGAGTAGGGACTTTGTGTGGGAAGCAAAAGGAAAGGATTCAGAGCCCTGTCCTTCATTCCAGGCTCCTCAAGACACATCTAAATATCTGGGTTTCAGGCTAAAGCCGTCTAGGAAGAGCTAACAGAACTCCTGTTCTCAGCCCCAGTGGGAATGACCATTACACTGCATCTACAAACGGATTCTGCCTTCACACCTCACGCTCCCTGTAACAGGGAACCCCTGAAGGTGGGGGAAGATAGGAAACCTGGGGAAAGCAAGGGCAGGAAGGAGTAGCTGCATATGTGGACTGAGCCAAAGACTAGAAAGGCTAGGCGCTCAATGAGGCAATTCCCTGCACCTGGACCCTGGGTGCAGATGTGGTTACATGGCTAGAAGAAGGCTGGGCTCGTGCATATAAACCCAGTTTCTGACCATGCAAGGGGGAGTCTGGCCCTGCAGGCAGCAGGGAGAGGAACTCCCAAAAGAGTGACAGACAGACAGAGACAGACAGACACCTAGGGCAGCTGGGGTAAGATGGCTCCAAGGGAGGTATGGCCTGTGGATAACATTAACCCTGAGTGAGGGAGACTTTTTGCTTGAGACTGGAGGACTTAGTCCTCTAGTGGCTACAGGGGTAGAAGTGGCTAGGAGAGCAGATTCAGATTCACAGAAGTTTAGGGCTGAAAGGGACCTCACGAGATCACTTAGTTCAGCCCCCCTGCTCTGGGCAGGAAAGACTGCTGGGGTCAAAATAACTCCAGCAAGGTGTGCGTCCAGTCTCCTTGGAAGATCTCCAGGGTAGGTGCCTGCACCACCCCCACTGGGAGTCTATCCCAGGGTCTGGTCACACAAACCGTGAAGAAGTTTTTCCCTATATCCAGTCTGAAACCTTCTTCTAGTTTATGACTGTTGCTCCTGGTTTTCCCCTGGGGCGCTCTGGTGAACAGCAGGAAGCTAGCCCCATGCTGGAGAGGCTGAGTTTGGGAGGATGCAACTGGAGCCCCAGGAGGGGCTGTTGTCAAGTCAGGGATCATGCCTGGGAGTTGAGGTTTTAGGCAGCAGACCAAGGCTGAGGGTGCGGCCAGAGCAAAAGAGTTCCAAGGCTGTGGCAGCTGAGGTCCCAACAGGTGCTTGGAAGCTTGAGGGAGCACTCCCGTAAAAGGAAAGCACTCGAGGGGGAAGCACAGGCCCCAGGCAGGGTGACCCTGGCTGTGAAGGTAGAGCTGAGCATCAAGGTGACCAATGAAGCCCCCTGACCTCAGGGACCGCATCCCCAACAAACCAAGGTAATGGCAGTCATGGCACTGAGAGACTGGAGGTGACATTGGGGCCGGGAAAGAGCCAGCAGATGGCTGGACTCTGGAGGGGGCCATCAGCTGCCAGGGTGGCAGATCCCCACTCACGCAGCAAGCAAGTCAACAACAATGTGGTCTAAGCTTCAGAATAATCTAGAACATGTAACACAACCCTTTTGAAGAACAAATGATACACTCAATCCCATTTTTTGGGGTAATCATGCACCTTTACCAGGCTATCAGCCTAAGTTGGGAGCAAGATGCAAGAACTTTGCTTCATGCTTTGTCCTAGGGTTCACTGATATTCATCTTTGCACACCCAGGTGTGAGGCTGTGCAAGGGTCCCATTCATTGTGTTACTGATGCTACAGTGGTAAGCAGAGACCAGGGCACTGTTCTAGGCACTGTATGCTGACTCATAGTGAGGGACACTCTCTGTAGGGCAAGATCAAACAAGGATAATGTTATATTAAATAACTGGGGCATAGAGAGGTTAAGTGATTTGCCCAAGATCATATACCTTTGGTGATGGTTCAGCTCCTGGTCTCAAGTCTTCTTTAATGCCTTAAACTGAAAGCCACCCTTCTGCCAGCTGGGGCAGAACCACAGCACAGTCCTACACAAGCACATGATCACACAGAGAGAAAGGTTTCAGGGTTTGCTCTTACCTGGTCTTTGTTGACAAATCCCCAGATTCCAGCAGCCACTTCACAAGCAAACAGGATCACCAGGCAAGTGAAGAACTGTGAAGAGATCGGGAAGAGGATACTAATAGGCTTGACAACAGGAGAAAGAGAGGATTTGGGGATGGAAGCCTATGGTTTCATTGGATAAAGAGTCTGCATCAGAATCATCCCACAAAAGTAAATATAGCTCAATGGATCAGGAAGGCAACAGGATTTGGTGTTTTACGGCAGCAGTGAGAGAAGCCCCCTCCCCTCCACACATACTCATACCTATGCCCATCAACCCATTATTTTTACTCTCCTGTTCCATGCACAGCCCAGGCAGGAAAAACCCCTTGAACAATTCCACTAGTTATCAGGCTGGGGTGGACCGTAGAGAGATTAGCAGAGATGTGTCAATAGGGCAACTGGGGTGGGGGGCTCCACTGGAAGAAAGATTATCCTTCTAGGGTTATGGGGATATTTTGGGCAAGATGTCTCCTTTGACACAGCTACTCAGGTACTACTAGCTCCATTCTGGCATATTTCATCTGATGAGAAACAGTGGTGTGTCAGTGTGTGATGTATAGATGGCTATCAGCATTCAAAGCCCTGCAAAGCTGCTGCATTTTTTTTTGCATAAGCAGGAACACAGACATGCCATGTTAGTCTGTAAATTGAATATGCTACTCATTCTCTCCAACCCCAACAAGCTGGAACCTCTTTCCTTCTGGATTCCAGTAACACCTGGTGATGGTGTGTTCAGTTTTCCAGTCTGGCTCTGGGAGACTTTATTACTCATAAAAGAGAAGCTAAAAATCACATTCATTAGGAGTCAAGGACCAGCTAGTAGGATTTCCAGTACCATTCCTGCAGGGAAAGCAAGGGAAGAAGAGAGCTGTGATCACGTCCCACAGCTAACTCTGCTGTCCTTAGACTGATTCCCCTCTGGGAAAAGTTTATCTACAAATATTTCTCCTATAAATTCAAAGAAGATGGGTGGATATGTTTGTGAAAGGATATGGTGGGCAGTGATTCTCAACCAGGGTGCTATGGAACCCTTAGGTATCATGAGATCTTTTAAAGGTGCCACCAAATGTTAGCACAGTTAGGTGGGCAAATATGGCATGCAAGATAAACCCAGAGATTACAAATAGGAAATCACAGCATCAAAAACATTAGGGCCTGATATGGTTTTTCTGAGTTATTTGCAAGAGAAAATTTGCCCTGTTATTTTTCTGTAGTCAAAAAACTAGTGAAAACTTGCCCCCTGCCTCCCATCTCCCCTGCCTCATGCCTGCCAACCCATAGCCTCTGGTTCCTGCCCCCTTTCCCTCACCTTCGAAGCCTCCACCCCTTGCCTGCTGTCCCCCCCACACCTGCACCACCAGCAGGCTGTATCCCCACTGCAGCCTGGGCAACGAGCACAACCCCAGCCGCTGAAGCAAAGGTCTGCAGGGTGGGAGGGAAGCAGCAACAGGGGAGCTGAGACAGGGGATGGTAGGGGTCCAAGGCTGCAGAGGAAGAATGATGGGGAACAGAGAGCCACTTAGGTTCCAGCTGACTCAGGGTTTGGGCCAAAGCTGCTGCCTGGCCCCTGCCACCTTGTACTCTGATTCCCAGATGAGGGGCTGTAATTTCCCCATGGTAAATGGCAGGGAGGGGAAACCTCAGTTTGGAATTAAATATGGTAATTAAAAAACAAATGCTGAAAGGCTGCTGTAATTCCTACACCAGACACTATGGCTTACATTTGTGACCACTGTCCTTAAAATGCATTCTTAATCACGTTTGTGGAAAGATACAATTTCTGCCCATGTTCTTGACTGAACATTTGGAAATCCAAGTGGAGTTGCCACCCAGCCAGAATCTAGGCTGAACACACTCAACACCAAGGTTGTCCCCGAGTGGAACTTGGCAACCGCAGTCGGTGTTGCACAAAGACTCATGTAGTGAGACGACGCAAACCTCCCTCCCACCCAGCCATCCCGTAGGTAAGTCCATCGTATGAAAGAATATTTTTGTAAGTCATTTCTATCATTACTAGCCATTCAACAGTTCCATCTCCCAGCTTTGTAACAAATATTTCTGATAAACCCTCATTCCCTTACTCAACTTAGGGAACTGTGATCATGGGAGGGGAAATAGCTTCATTTCCTAGGGAGGTTAATACTTGGCCTCTAAACAGTCAATGTAAACACAACACAGCAGGAGTATCAACCACTACTTAGGAGGTACTAATACAAAGCACCTATAGCTTTCTCTGGTAGGCAAAGGCAAAAGGAAAGAAAGCACACAGACAGTACTACTGATCTCTCCCAAAGCCAGTGGTTTCACTACTGGGCCTCAAGTACATTCAGCTGCTGTACATTCAGATGCCTACCTCCTAAAATCTCCTTCTAAAGTTTAAAGGGAGACCAGGGGTAATTCAAGTCCTATAGTCCTTTGCTTTGGCAAGGTCCAGCTGACACTGCCATCTCATACTCAATAAGGCCCTCAAAATGAGGCTACCCCTGCTATAGTGGCCTTCCAGTCTCGCTAATACAACACTGTTACTGATATTTTCATGCACAGATCCCAAATCCATTGCAAAAACAATCACTGTTCCTCTTGCACAAATGTGGGAACAGCGGTGCACAGATATTGAATGGCTTGCCTTCATTCACCAAGCAGGTCAGTGGCAGGGGAGTAGAGGAATGGCTTCCTCCAGTTCTACTCCAGTGCTCTATTCATTGGACTACACGTACACCCACTGTCTTGCCAGAGATGGCTGGGCACTAGGGCTCCAACCTGTTTCTTCTTCAGAGCAAAATAATCCTGTAAAGCTGCAACAACATGGAATAAACACACTATCAGTTCAGACATGAGGGTCGACTTGCACATTTCTGTGATTCACAGGATCATAGAAAATTAGTGTTGGAAGGGACCTCAGAGGGACATCTATTCCAACCCCCTGCTCAAAGCAGGACCAGCCCCAACTAGCTCATCTCAACCAAAGCTTTGTCTATCCGGGTCTTAAAAACCTCCAAGGATGGAGAGTCCACAACTTCTCTGGGTAACCTGTTCCAATGTTTTACTACCTTCCTAGTAAGAAAGTATTTTTTTTCTAATATCTAACCTAAACTTCCTTTGCTGCTACTTGAGACCATTGCTTTTTGTTCTGTCATCTGCCATAACTAAGAGCAGTTTAGCTCTATCCTCTTTGGAAAACACCTTTCATTTAGCTGCAGTCTGCTATTAAATCCCTTCTTAGTCCTCTCTTCTCTAGACTAAATAAGCGCAGCTCCCTCATCCTCTCCTCATAAATCATGTTCTCCAGCTCCCTAAACATTTTCACTGGCTTCCGCTGGACTCTCTCCTCTCTGTAGTGAGGGGCCCAAAACTGGACACAGATGTGGCCTCACCAGTGCTGAACAGAGGGGAATAATCACATCCCTTGATCTGCTGGCAACACTCCCAGCAATGCAGCCCAGGATGTCATTAGCTTTCTTCTCAAAAAGGGCACGTTGTTATCTTATATTCAGCTTGTTGTCCACTGTAACCTCCAGGTCCTTTTCTGAAGAGCTGCTGCTTAGCCAGTTGGTCCCCCAGCCTGTACCCACAACATGGGAGTGTTCTGTCCTAAGTGCAGAACTTTGCACTTCTCCTTATTGAACCTCATGAGATCTCTTTTGGTCCAATCCTCCAATTTGTCAAGGTCTCAATCTTAGCCCTACCCTCCAGCGTATCTACTACTCCCTCACAGCTTGGTGTCATCTGCAGACTTGCTGAGGGTGCACTCTATGCCATCTTCCAGGTCACTGATGAAGATATTGAACAAAACCAACCCCAGGACCAACCTGTGGGGCACGCCACTTAATACCAATTGCCAACTAGACATCTAGCCATTGACTACATGTAGCCATTTTTTTTTATCCACCCTACAGTCCATTCATTCAATTTGTACTTCCTTAGCTTGCTTGCAAGAATGTTGTGGGAAACTGTATCAAAAGCCTTGCTAAAGTCAAGGTATACCACATCCACTGGTCTCCCCGCATCCACAGAGCCAGTCATCTCATCATAGAAAGCAATCAGGTTGGTCAGAAATGACTTGCTCTTGGTGAATCCATGCTGACTGTTCCTAATCACCAAAGATACTGGTTTCCCAATACAAAAATTGCAGATTCTCCGATTAAAAATTGCAAATTCTCTAAAACCCCAAAATCCATGATTAAAATGAAAGGTCACTATATATATATATATATATATATAGAGTATACAGTTGAACACAATGTTTTATTGATATATTTATAGGTTTAAAATAATTGGGAAGCCTACCAGTGCCTCAGTCACTATAAAAAAATAAATTCTAAATACATATATACTTTGGCATTTGATTTTGGGTTTTTCATTATGAAAAACC